TGATCATGGAGTGGACCGGGCAGACTTCGGATAAACTGCTGTTTCAGTAGGCGCTCTCTTGCGTTACCCTCTAACTCGGGGAGCCCAATCGTTAGATGTCTGTCCAGCTGCTGGATAAACACCATCAAATCCTCCTGTTTGTCCCATCTGGCTGCGTGAAATCGTTGCAGTGCTCGTTCTCTCTCCAGATCCCTCCCAAATTCTGCACACAAGGCAGCCCTCATCTCAGCGAACGAACAACCGGGTTTGGCCTTTCGAGTGAGCAGATACACCGCCTTGGCTCGTCCACTCAACCGTGTGCCCAAAGCAATTAGCAAAGTTGCATCCCCCCTCACACCCGTGCAAGCCGCAATTCCGTCGAACTCATCGAGCCACGCCTCCACGACACCGGCCGCAAATTGCTCTAACTGGGTCAACTCCATCACGATTGGTCACGGCACCAGTGTAGCGAGAACGACACGACAGGGGGGGGTAGACGTTTATTGCACACCGAAACTGGGCACACCCGGTTCTCGCGCGCGCCATCGAATATCGACTAGATTTCCGTCCCACCACGCAACACAGGTACGGATGTTAGAGACGAGCCAGTCCTTTCTCCTCGGGAGCTCTGACTTGGAAGATCCGCCTTCCTGTTTTCGCCTCAATCTCCGCTTCTCTGCACCCGATTTGGATCGGCCAGGAGTCGTTCGAGAGCTCTCGACTTGCTTGTTCTGGGCTGTGTCAATCGGCTCGGCCTCGGTCCTGTGGGCTGCGCTAGCGGCGTATTTGTCTGATTTATTGCGCTGTCCACATATTCCCGCTCCATAGTTCCGGGTCCAGGCTCGTCGCTAGCCGTCTTTCGCGATCCGCTCTCAGCTAGCTCCGAAGAGCTCCCTAGAGCCATTCTTGGAAGCGGCCCCTCTACAAAATGACCGAAATGCTGTTTGTAAAACACTATGGCACAACTTTGATTGGTGACGCGGAAACCCAGTTCCACCTCTAGACAAATGGTTTTGTTTCTAACCAAAATACCCACTACGAAGATCTGGCGAAGGCCGTTTGGGTTCTTGAGTTGGAGACGAAAGTCGATGTTCGCATTCATTAACGCCATATATGGATGGTGCAGCCTTGAACGGAGAAGCTCTAGAGCGCTTTGCAGAATCAACTAGAGAAATGACGCGGAAACGACAAACCCGAACCAAACGCCAGGTCTTACCGAAATTTCGGCAGATTTCACTCTGCAGGACATGACTTATTATTTGCACGATGTGCAGCAATTCCACAGAGGTAACACTTATTTCTAACTAAGAATCGCGTCAGCAATCGTGTAGAATCCAAACGGTCAATTTCAATGGCTCCTCTTTCAGACTGGCATGCCTCAATGTACGCACATTGCTTCAGATCGGTCAACAGGCAGCAGTTTCCCAGAATTAGAGACCCTCTCGGTCGATATCTGCTGCTTATCGGAGACCCGCCTACAAGGCTCGAGTTCCGTGCTCACTCTGCGATCCCTTTCAGATGACAATAGCAGCACTTTCTCATTGCGCCTATCCGGCGACGATGTAGTTTCGAGCACCGGCCAAGCCGGTATTGCCCTAAGTCCCCGGGCTGAAGCTGCTCTGATTGTCTGCATCCCAATCAGTAGTCGGATGTGTGCGGTCCCATTGGCTGGCTCGTTTAAAGCTTCGAAGCTGCACGGGAATAGCAGGTGTCTATTCATTATCGCTGCTTATGCACCCACAAACTGTAGCAATGCCTTCGTAACAGACGACTTTTACCGCCAACTGACTCAGCTCCTTCGCCACAGAAATAGCTCGGACACTGTAGTGCTGGCTGCGGATCTGAAGGTTTAAGTTGGAAACTTATCCACCGATGAACTGCATCTGGGCCGCCAACATGATGTAGGCACCCGCAATGATAATAGTGAGCGGTTACTTAATTTGTGTGAGGATGCTGGCTTATTTCTTGCGAGCACTAACTTCTGACACTGCACCCGCCGGGAGGTTACTTGACGCCCACCAGCCTCGAACGAACCTTGGACGCAGATCGATCACATTGCTATCCGTTACGGCTGGAGAGGCTGCATCCAGAACTGTCGCTCGATTTGGAGCACATGTGTAGACACCGATCATGCGCTTGTATGTGCTGACATGCGGATAAGCTTTTGCGGACACCCAAGACGACGTTGTGACCGCATTGACAACAGCCAACTGACAAAGCCAGCTGTTCTGAATGCGTATCGAAGTACGCTGATATACGAGTTGAATAGGCGCTCACTGGACGCAATTGAAGCTCACTGATCTCAAATTTACCAGACCTTACTAGCAGCAGGCAAATCCTCATGTGGTATGTCTAATCGCCAACATGGACATTGGGTCTCTTCACAGTCTCTGGAACTTATAGATGATCGCCAGCATATTCCAGCTGGAAACGAACGCAATGAAACTCGCAAAGTGTTCCGGGAAAAACTCCGTGCTAGCCTGAAAAGAGACCGCGAATCCGAGATGGAAATGGCCGCTGCCCTTGGTAACCGTCGTAAGTTATTCTGTCTGATAAGGGAAACGGGCAGAAGGAGGAATGGTGTTAGTGAAACTATACGGGACGAAAGTAGACAGCCTATAAACAACTTATCACAAACTTTGGAGTGTTGGGCTGAGCACTTCGAAAGTTAATTTAATCTTTTGGAATTGTTAGCTTTCTCGCCAGCCGCTGATCGCAACGATCCTTTGGATCCACCCTCTCGAGCGGAAGTAGAACGTGAGATCGCACTGCTGAAGTTACATAAAGCAGCTGGACCAGATGATCTTCCTCCAACCCTCTACAAATTCGGGGGACCTGCTCTTGTGGAGGATTTATAGGAGTTATTAGTGAAACTGTGGGAGCAGGCAACTGTCCCAAACGAATGGAGCCGCTCCGTTATTGTCCCAATTTTCAAGGGAGGCTCAAGATTGGAATACAGCAATCATAGAGGAATCAGTCTGATCTCCATCGCCTCCAAATTACTTGCCTCTGTCATCCTTCGCAGACTGACTGGCACTCGTGAAAGTCAGATTCGTGAAGAGCAAGCCGGGTTTCGTCAAGGTCGTGGCTGCATCGACCACATCTTCACTTTGTGTCAGTGCTTGGAACACCATCACATATATTGGCGGCCCACCGTAGTCGTGTTCCTCGATATCAAGGGTGCATCCGATTCGGTGGATAGACATGCACTTTGGGACTGCCCACTCAGGAAAGATGTACCTGAAGAATGTTTAAATATTATCCGAGCATTGTAGGCGCGTAGCTCTGGCAGAGTGAAGACTTACGGCAAGCTGTCATCGCCCTTTCTTATCTCTAGCGGTGTGAGACAAGGATGCCCGTTGTCACCTTTCCTCTTCAACTTCGCTATTGAGGAAGTCATGGAACTCTGGTTCACAGGACGCGACTTGGAAGGTGTGGATCTGCTCCCAGGAGAACGACACCTTGCCTTAGAGTTTGCTGATGATATCGCCCTAATCGGTGACAGCTCACAAACGTGCCAAACGGCACTGGACAGAGTAGCACTGGCTGTCCGTCACTTCAGGCTTTGCTTCGCACCCTCGAAGGGCAAAGCGTTCCTCCCAGATTGGTCTGGACCGCCTCCTACGTTGACTCTTGGTGCAGATCAGCTAGAAGTCGTTCAAAAATGCAACTACCTAGGAAGTTGTACTAGTGCCCGTGCGATTGAAGACGAGATCACGAACCGTATAGCAAAAGCTCGAGACGCTTTTGCTAACCTTCGCCACCTGTTGCGCAGGCGTGACATCACTCTCTCCCTGGAGGGTAGATTGTACAATGCAGCGGCACGTTCGACCCTACTGTACGGTTGTGAAACCTGGCCCCTTAGGTCAGTCGACATAAAGAGACTAGTTACGTTCGACCACCGGTGTCTTCGCAATTTAGCTCACATCTGGTGGGAGCACCGCGTGAGCAACGAGCGTGTTCGACACCTTGTTTACAGCATAGGAAAAGAAAATGAACCGCACAGCACGGTTATTTCACGCACCAGGCTCCGATGGTTGGACGACGTGTTGCGCATGCCAGCCCATTGACTCCCGCGACGTGCGTTGTTTGTTCACCGGGAGTGCGGATGGAAGAAGAGGAAGGGTGGTCAAGCAGCGACTTGGTCGAGAGGAATGAAAGCCCTTACTTCAAAGCTGGCGTCGGTGGGAGCGTCTTGGCTTCCTGGTTGGGGTCCGAAAGACGATGAACACCTTTGGCTAAATACACTTGCTGATATGGCTAGGAGCCGACCTCATTGGCGTTCGTGCTATGAGTTTCTTTGGCCCACCGCATCCTTCTTAGCCTCCCCTTCCAAGCACGACCTCACTAGTTAGCCTTATATAATTTGCATGGTAATTTTTTTTCTGCATAGTAGCCAGCTGGTAGCTTACCGGAACGATGCCCATCCGTTACTGGTAGCTCAGCTGACTTGCGCCTGTTGCAAATTTTTCTCCTTTTTCGTCTATGTATTGCGGCACACTAGCTGAGGTGTTTCCCATCACTAGCTAACGCGGATTTATTGTATTTAACAACACTGCCTCTTGCTACGCCTCTAAATTGAAGTCCATCGCACGTACATCCTATCAGACAGCCAATACACACTAAATAAAACTTCAATTAACCTTTTGTGGTTGCTTAGATAGTCCTGCGGTTTACCTGAGTATGCTATGTGAAAATTCTAGATGAAATGATTCTCTTAATTTGCCCGCAGACTATCGATGCAGTGTCTAACCACATGTTGAACTCATTTGTCTGAAACACCAACACTACACACACCACCACCACAAGTGGATCCCTAGCGCGGATGCAATCATGGCATTCCACTGTTTGTACCATAGTCTAGCCGCTCGGTGTACGTGCTACACAAACTTTAGTTTAGTGTTGTTGGCAAACTCGTACTCATATGGATTACTGCTTTATCCGCATATCAAGGTTCGTTACGGAAGTATAACTAGTTGTTTGAGACTTGACGTTCTTTAACTTTTTGCGGTTCGTTGCAGACCGCGGACACTGCTACCCCGTGTCCAGTTGAACTTTCCACTAACCCAACCGCTCAGCATTCCGCGGTTCCAGACATAAAGAAATCCCGCCGGAAACTTCGGGATCGCCCAGTGCAGACTTACGCGATAAAAGACGGCGATGCAAAAATGGAAGGGAATCATATGTCGCTTCCGGACTCTGCAGATAACAAACCCCTCTTGGACGATTCTGAGTTTGAAGTTGTTGAAGCCCCATTCTTATCCTCATGTTCTCCTGGTCCCTCCTCTGAATCAGATCACGGCATCACTAACATTAACCCAACAACAACAGTTTCCGCGTCTGCTGAGATTCCATCCATCTCCAGCATCGAGGAGTTTCCCGGTAATCGGCATCTGTTAGTGCGTACCACTCGCTCCGTTAAACCTCTTTACGCCGGGGAACATGTTGGCGCTAGGAAGTTAGACTACTCACTAATAAGTTAAAACAACGACAGTGCACTTGTGACCGACGCAATACAGCTCATCCTCCAGTTGGGTGCATATAGGTGATGTACGAAGAGAAGGATCTTACTTCGTGACAGCAAATTAGGTAAGGAAGAAACAATGGAAAAAGTGGTGTGGGAGAAACGAGATCAAAGTTGTGGGTTTTAAAACTGAACCTACGGTGTAAACAACTACGTGTACTTACTCAAGTATTTCTTTGGCGATGGGTGGTACTTGTCGAAAAGGTTCACATTTAGTTAGGCTATTCGGCAATTAGTGATATCATCATTTCAAACCAATCAACTCATACATCCTGAACGACTGCATCTAAGTCCCTTAAAGTTACGAGCGGCCATAGACGAAGCCGTGGCTTTGAGGGTCTTCGCGTCAGCTCGACCTACTTGCAGCAGAACACCGTATCTCTAGGTTCAGTGCTGAGAAACAGCCAACAAGTGACTTTTCCAGCCAGATGGTCGGTTATGAGTCCAGATAGAAAGAAAGACCGTGATAGGCGGTGATCGAACAGTAACAGTCAACTTGTTCATCACGGTTTCGTTTATCTACATCATCCACAGGGGAGTTGATGTTACTATTGGAACTGTCGTCATTGGTTATCCCTAGCAGAATGGTTTCGGGCTGATGCGGATTTGCTTTCCTATCCTTGTGTGATTAGTGTGGAGGACAGAATGAGGCTAATGCCGCCAGCTCACTGCATATAATAAGGTTAAACACGGATAAGTTAAGAGTAGAAATAACATTCTGGGAGGGAATTCCAAGTGTAGTAAACACTTTACAAGAAAATATTCCGTCAATATTCCAAGCCACTGTAATGTTGTTGCAGTGTCATACTGTGTCCTATTTGGTTGCTGTTATAACTGAGCTTTAGCGAGTGATAGTACGCGTGAGTAGGGCTGTTTGAAATTTGGTGTACTATAAAAAAGCACCACGCGAAGCCGGATATCGTCCACTGGAAGCGCCTATGACCCTAACTCACTGTTCGTAACGCAGCAGCTTTTCGAAAGGCTTGGCCGTCCAATTTTGCACAGTGAGATTCCGATATTGCCATTGATGTTACGCTTAAATCACATATGCCACAAGAGTTGGTACGTAGACAGAGAGCACTTTAAAGAAACAGATGTGTCGAAACCACCGGAAGTCCTCCTTCAGGGTCTCACCATTCGGATAGCCCTCATTGATGCTATTTTGGATTTCCCATGGCAACCAATGCCTTCATCTATCCGTTTGCCGACGTCTTTTTCTCCAGATCAATGTTTGAGATTTTTGTCGCCTAGCTTGTGTGAACCATTCAATGTCGTAAACGCTGCACTCGACAATTGTTTATGCTGAATTGAATACGGTTCTGGACTGTCCACCTATAAATCTTACGGAGATCGTGTTGAAGCTGTCCACGGACATCTGGAATTTGGACCGCTTTCAAGACTTTGATGTTGTCTGCGTGAATCAAATTGTTTGCAGTTTTGCACTCGACTCCATATTACTGACAGGGCAGAGTTCCAACATCGGACCTTGTGCTACAACTCGCCCAATTTGGATACGATCTGACAAGGATTTATACACCTTTGCTAATAGATACCTTTCAAAGGAAGTTGCTAATCACCCTAGGAAGTGATCGTCAGTATCATATACACGAAGCTAGGTGAGAAGGATGCAACGGTCCAACTGTACAAATGTCTTAGACGTCAGCGTAATAGTCATCAAACACTACGCCCACACCCACAGTTTGGCCCAAATGTTTGC